TATTAATTATATATATAATATATTAGGTTGGTGTGAGAATGATGTTATTATTACTATACGAAGTATACATATCTTATTGCAGCCGTCTTTTCCATTCCTTGTCTTTCTGATCATGTCCATTCATTCCCTCCCCGCATTTCTCCTTTCATTATCCAGATGTTACGGAACAAAGTATTAGATCAGTACCACACAATTCTCACCAGGTGGAATCATTCATATCTCATGTTTACTGTATTTTTCTCTGGGGACACGATACGTTTTCTCTGCTTGTTAACCTGCTTTCATGGGTATTATGAGCTTTATTAGTATGCACAGGCATGTCAACCAAGATGATTGGAGATTGAAACTTCCTTGTTTAATGACAAACAGTGGTAGTTGTAGCGTATCACGTCCACGTGTTTAATAATAATAATATAAATACGTAGGAGTATGATAATCACAGGAATATGAAACTAAATAAAAAATCATAATAAAAATAACCATAGAGATAGAATGATAACGGAATGTAAAACACCTCGACAGGTGGAGAATTATATATATTAATGAATTAATAATAATAATAACTAATGGATAATGATAATTAAAATGGAGAATAGAGAATAAGAAATAAGAATAAGAATAAGAATCAAGATAAGAAAGTAATTAGAATATGTGTATTATAGAGAATCAAGTAATAAGAATAGAGCAATAAGAATAGACGAATAAGAACTAAGATAAGCAATCAAGAATAAGAATAAGAATAGATACGAAATAAGAATCAAGAAATAAGAATAGAATAAGAATAGAATAAGAATAAGAATAAGAATAAGAATAAGAATAAAATAAGAATAAGAATAGATAGAATAAGATAAGAATAAAGAATAAAGATAAGAATAAGAATTAGAATAAGAATAAGAATAAGAATAAGATAATAAAATAATTCTATCTTTTGCAGGATTTTTTATATATGCACAAGTTGAAATGGCGATGAGAATCTACAGCTCCACTAACGATCAGCGTGCAATAAAAACTAGCGTTTTCAGTTCTACCATCTTTTCTTTTCAAATGAGTTTTCGGAATACTGCTTCATATATTGGCCCTTGATATAATGGCATGAACCCTTTATACTGTTTTATTACCTTCCCTTACACGCTGTTTGGAGGTTTCAATACTTCACTTGGAATTGATTTGAGAATAGCTCTGGACACTTGCCATGCTCATTTCTACGGAAAGCTCCCAATGGCACGGCTTTAATGCAGCCATTTATGCAGCAGCACTGATAGTCACGTTAAACCCACAAATCAGTAGACATTATGGAAGCAGGCAATGATGGCCTTTTATGCACGTTGCATGCAGCCATTTTCTGCTAGTGACAGAAGGAATTTCAACTTGTTATTAAAACGAGAGCAAAGGGGAAAGGGGGCAGAGAGAGAGACTAAGAAAAGTAACGGATGGAATCCATGTTAAGACTGTTATAGTGATAAAGTGCTGAGCAGTTGAGGCCCAGTAAGTTTCCAGGAAAAACATGTTTCTTTCAATCTAAATAGGATACTGTATATCATACAGTTTTCCTTGTTATAGCACAGACTGTGAACAAGCCTCCTTGTAGGTAAAATAGTGCATGAAGTTAAATGTAAAACAGAAGTCCATGTTGCATATTATTCATATTCAAATAATGTTCTGCACTCCTTGTGTACTACCTTTTATAATATTTCACTAAAGAATGCCTTAACATTTTTCCTTATATATTGTTTTATGATTCCCTGTACGAATCAGAATATAAGAATAGAGGAACCTTTACCAATGTATTCCAATGTACGAAGACTGAGGCCCAGTGTTATTTGAGATTTCCTCTGCCTTGGGCCTCAGCCCTTGCCTCAACCAATTTTACAGTCTCGTCTTCTCCCTCTTTACTTTTCCTTTTCCAACCCCTTTTCCTGTCCAGTTCCTGAGAAGGTAGAGCTGTGATGAATGAATAATAAGCTGGCTTTGGCCATTGATGTAGTATTCCTCTGTTGAGGTACTTATCTCTTGCCCTTATTACTGCTATTACTACTACTGCTTTATCCTTATTGTCTGACTCCCCACAGTACTACCTCACTCAATACCAATCCCTCTTCTTATCATCCTTTTTTCTTCTACTACTGCCACTAATACAAACCCTTTGAATGCTCTTCTTTGCCCAGTTAAGGGGATTGATTAATAGTGATCCCCCACCAGCCCCTTATTCTTACAACAATGTCTTCAAAAGCAAGCAAGCAATATCCTTCTACAGCCATCCTGATCATTATTGCCTTGTCACAGTTACACAGAGCCATAAGCTCAAGCATTATGTACCATTTCACTGGCAAACCTATTCCTGCCCAGCCCCATGCCAACCTTAATATTTATACCGGAACTGCCTCCATCTCCCCGACAGATTGCCTTGTCTTTGAGAAGGATTGTTCAGACTGTGGAGACGATGCTTGCCTGCCTCATTGACTATTATGCTACATTATTCCCATGAGTGGCTTCTGTAAGGCCTCCACTAATACTTCGAAAATTTCTTTCCATGCCCTGTTCTACCAGGTCGACTCCTCCCCCATCAATTAAAAAAATGTTGGCATCTTGGCCACCCTGCCAAACTGTTTCTCCACAGCCCACTGCCCTTTGTGTGCCCAACCATGGTTCAAATTGTTTTGTGCTATTACACATATGTGCCAATTGTGATGTCTCCCATAATGTATTTTATAGGGGCTGCCCTTCCCAAACGTTTGAGTCTGAGGTGGCAATTTTAAGTTTCAATTCTGCCTCATAGGAAATGGGACAAGGTTTTTCTCTTGCTCCTTACTCGTGTTGTCTTTTGCTTTCCCTGATACCTACCCCTTCTCCTTCTCACTCTGTCCATCACATCAGACAATCTAAACACTCTACCTGACCTCCTACCACATCCTCTCCTACACCTACCCCTTCCTCTTCTCCACAGATATCTGTCTCCTCTTCTACCCCTCATAAGAAAACAATTTCTCAGACCTCCTCAACCAATCCCCTTTCAGAAACACTTGAGGACATTATCTATCTAATCATTGCCCAAAATAACATGCCTATCCCTCATTTACCATCTAATTTCTCTGCTCTGATTCCTTCTATATTCAGTTACTGTTGACATCCATCATCCTCCAGCTCATTGCACAGCGTGTTTCATTAAATGTGAATGACTGGGAACAGTTTGTTTACACTATGCTTGTACTCCTAAATGTTTAGAGTGCCTGTCCTTTGAAAATAAACAGCTACACACGGGTCACCTATGGTGCTCACAGCACATCTGTGAGTGTGCATGCAATATATCGATTTTATAGACCATTGAATATTTTTATATTTGTATTTTATGTTATTATCTGGTAATACACCTATTTTTTGTATGGGAACTGGGCCTTATTAAGACAGGGTTCAGGATAACTTACGTTACCACATCCTTTTGAGATGTAATCTTTTGTGTTAATAAACATGTCAAAGTAAAAAAAAAAAAAAAAAAAAAAAAAAAAAAAAAAAAAAAAAAAAAAATCCCTCCCACACCCCATCCCACCTTGCTCTATCTGCACCACCCCTCTTCCTTCCCTGTTACCCCTTCCGCTCCCTTCTGGATATGCACATGACTCCCTTTTGTCACAACAGTGTCTTTCCCTGGACTATCCCCTTCCTGACATTCCTCCTGAAACTGGTATTTGATATAATTGCCTGTAACCTCCCCCCCCCTTTCTCTTTTTGGTAATCCCTGCCTTACTTCACAGTCATCCCTGCAGAATCCCACACTTATTACTTTGACAACTTGTTTTCTTTCCTTGCACACACATGTTATAAATCCTCCATTTGAAGGAGCAGTCACACTACTCTATTCTATCCAGGGATCCCAAGAGTGATCGGGATGCTTCCCAAGCTGTAATGGGATCTGAGAAGTAAATTCCTAGCCAATACGGAACTGCTGCGTAGGTATTTCATCCCAATCCAGACCAGGAAAGTCATTACATAAAAAAACTACAATATAATTAGTGGTAAACTAATTACTTAATATCATAAAAATTGATTATTATATAATGTTAAAAACAATCTATTTTCTAAAAAATAAGATATATTGCATTGAACAATGATGTTTCATTAAATTTTAATTGATAAATCAGATAACTTTCATTTGACCAATGAACATAACCATCAACCCATTATGGATATTGTTGGATAACATAAGAGCCAAAAAGCTTTTTGCGGAACACCAGTCATAAGGCTTATAAAAGCAGGAATTGGAAAAGAACCTTGATGTATGAAATAAGGAAGGTATTTTGTCATTAACATTGTGAACGCTGGACTGAGAGGATACTATGTGTAGTGTGACCAATTCCATGCTGTAGCCTACCAGACTTCAGTGAGGCTGTCTTGTGATCCCAAGACAGTGAAGACCAGTGTGACCGTCACTTGGTCTAATCACCCCTAACCCCCCTTCTTTCTCCCTATGGATTGACAGTGGTATATTTACAGAAATTAAACACTAATCATTATCTTTTAATAATATATTATGAATATTTCTGTAATAATCATAATCACTACTAGTTTTCTTCATGCTCATATTGTAAATATGGACTATAAAGTCTTAACTCTTATATTTTACATTTCTAAACAAATGAATGTTGTATGTTTACACAAATGTATAATTTCTACAGTATGTCAGCAGGTACAGATATTGATTATAGTTAATACTGTATTTTGCATAAGTATATAGATATTATGAGTGTATTGGTTGGTTTATGTATTTTACCTTTACATGTACATGTCTGTATTCTAAATATCAGTAGGTCTGCTTACATAACCTTTTATTCATAATTTTTCTTCTGAATATCATTTGCATGAAAGAGAAAGGAAGAGAGATAGTTGTTCATACGAACTAATGTGTAATTGGTAATCACATCCACAATTATGGTTATTAGTAGTTGATTGTTTGTACATACCAAATACAGACGCATCTAACTTTTTAGGTATAATGAAATGCCTTATAATGAGAAATCTTTATTTCATATTACTGCCTTATTGCATAGATGATAAAAAGATGTTAACATGAGCTGGGAACAGACTGCACAGTGCTATGTAAGCTCAACCTGTTTCTGTGGTAAACATTTCTTTTTTATCTATTTGTTTCATCTTTTATTATTATTTTGTGGATGAGCTGTTAGTCTGTTTCATGGTTTGGTATAGATATTTGGATCAACCACTTAGAACATAGCTTCATGTTATGTATATTTATATATATATATATATATCTTTTTTTGTCAGTTTACCATGAAAACGTGACTAAACATTATGCTGGGATAGATGGCCCCTGGTTTTCAGCAGTAACCGTCCATGGTACACATGCCTGCTAATCTATTATGGAGGCTTTTGGGGATGCATGGGGGTCAGGTGTTATGGGGAAGATAGCTATATCACCTTCCCTTTGTTCAGGGGAAGTTACAGTATGGCAGTATACACAAAGTTTCAACAAGTCTCTGTCGGCAATATCCAAACACTGTTTTTAGAACATTTCAGAACTGCAATACCCTTTGGGACTATTAATAAACAAATAAGGCTGAAGTCCCATATTGCACAGTGCTGAATTCATGGTGGAAAGTAAGTTTTAATTATAAAATAATGCCCTAATTATGCTTAACCTAAGAGAAGCATTTGATCATCATCATCATCCAACAACACCATAGAAATGCTCCTCTAAATTCTATAATGAATAATACAACCCTACGAAAATTATTGTTTCAGAATCAAGAGGTAAAATCCATAACAATAACAGATGCATTATAAAACCTTCTTAATCCCAACATGGAAACTCCTAAGAATAATTCATACCCACAGATTGACAAAACAAATATTAAACAATCACTTTAAGCAATCCACCTAAAAATTAAGATAAAATCAAAGGTTTTCAACAAGCAGTCATGTTGGTTTGGATTAACAAGGCTTTTTGTAATCAAGCAATCAACAACATGAACGGTAGACTCTATGGATAGTGCTCTATCAAAAACAAATGGCTTAGGCCTGCACATAATACCAATAGGAATCTGATATGCCAAATAGACTTGGGGAAAATATCTAGCCAACTAATTAATAATAGTATGCATACTATTACATTTATTGGAACTGTAAAACTGCAAATGATCATACTGTATATATACACACTGCAGTAAAACTCACAATTGGCTGAATAAATTGGATGTATACATAATCTAAATAATCACACCCAATCAAGGATATGAACACAGCTTGAGATAAGACTTATTGAAAGTTAAGTGTGCAACCTTAAACTGTATACATTTCTCAATGTTACACATAGGTTAAACAAGATTTTTTACCTCAGACATTATAACAGCATTTTTTTTCTCTTTCACTTTTACATCAAAGACAAATCTTTGCAAATTTAATGCAGGTGCAGATCTTTACTTATCCACCTCTAGAACATCTATCAAGTCTACTCGGTTCAGATTCCTTTTTTTTTTTGTTTCAAATTCTAGGGAAGGGTCTATTAAGGTTTTAAGTTTCATTATCATGTCCATTTCAATCAAGGGATTTACAAGAAAAAATATGATTAAAAAAATAAATAAAAAATCACATTACCATTCTTTATGTGGGCACAAGGCTATTTTGAAACTATCTTAAATTTCTAAAGGCCACACATTGGTGCAGTATCAAAGATTACTTCTTTTCTGCCTTACTCATAATCTGTCTGTATATATGATAAGTCATTAAGAGTCCCTGTGAGCATTTACAAATTAAAACTGATCATATCAAGCATCTGACACAGTCACATGGCTTAAAAAGAAAATTACAGGAAGCCTTTGTAGTAAGGACAATTTCATTTTCATGATGATACAACTTATACAAACATTGCAGCCAAGATTTCTTAACAAATATGTCACAAATATACGTCTTGCAGAACTGCCCTTCATTCACAACTATTAAACACCAAAATTGAAAAATAAAAAATGTAACAGTTCTGGGTATTACTTAGATGGCAAAATGGTGAGTGCTACAGTTCCCCTTGCTTCTTTCAGAATATATACTGCTTCTGCATGGGTCAGTCCAGCTAGTGATTCTCCATTCACTTCAAGAATCTGATCTCCACGCCTTAGGGATCCTTCACGAGCTGCGGCACCACGTTCAAAGACACTCTTCACATATATAGGCAAATCACCTAAATTGGAGCCGAAACCTCCAACGATCGAGAACCCAAGACCATCATCACGTCGCTCCAGCAAGATTGTCCTGATACCTGATGTTTCCTGGGGTTCCTTTGGCTGAATTTGCTGCTGTTGCTGTTGCAGGGGTGGTGTCTGGGGTGGCAGGTGGTGTGGCTGGATGAGCGGAGGCAGATGTGTGCGGGGGATGGGGACAGGGGGTTCTGGCGGGACTTTGGTGCTACCCTCAGGGGAGCTGTCACTTATTGTCACTGGCCATGTGTTATTCCTGAAACAGGGTGCATGAAAAATGAGACTGCAGGTACAAGAATGAAGTAAGGCTCGTTATTAATGTGCAAAGGTTAAAAGGGTAATGATAAAGATAAATGTAAATGTAAATAAGAGTAAGTGTAAGTTTTAGTGTAAATAAATGTAAATGTATGTAAATGTCAATGTAAATGTAAAATAAAAAGATAGAAAAGTGTGAAAAGTCTATACTAATACAAACCTTTACTTCCTGTGTATGCCATGAAAATACAAAATAAATATTAGGTATCTGCTAATAATATTTGTCTGACATTACATCTCATTGTTGCTCAACTGGAAAAGCAATTTTTTTATTTTTAAAAAGTGGGGAAATTTCATTACCAAAACAGTTTAACATAAATCTGAGAGCCCTTACGCATTGTTATTGGAGTTAGCTTTCTTGCCAGCCTTAAGTCTTCCTAATTTCATACTGACAGAACCTGGAGCACACTTGAGGATAGCAGCTGCCTGCTCCTGGGTAGCCTGGCGAAGGTCTTTATCATTCACTTCAAGGATCTGGTCACCTTGCATGAGGCGGCCATCACTCTCAGCTACACCACCCGGAACCTAGAATGTTGTAATTGAAAAGTAAAGCTTAGTTTTCCTAAAAAGTCCATATTAGGATGGTGTAAGGATGGGTAGGAAACACATATTCTACAAAACCCACAAAGTATAATAGTGAAAGGTTATGCTATACATAATATTTGAACTCACCACATCAGAGATGAAGACACCAGGGCCGTTCTTGCGTCCAACTATAGAAAGTCCAAGACCCTTGCCAGACTTCTTTGTGAGTTGGACGGTGATAATATCATACAAATCTTCTTCCTTCTGGCTTCCCTCTTCACGGTAAACAACCATTTTTACCTAGAATTCATGACCAATGTTACTGACATTTGAGGGTATAATGCTAAGAGGCTTGTGATGACAAAAAAAAAAAAAAAAAAAAAAAATCATTTAGTATTATTTCTGTTCTAGACTCTCAGTTATAAATTGAATTTCAAAGATATTTGAGAATGCTTCTTATTAGTAATTATGAGGATGATAAGAAAATGGTGAAAATGGCAAAGAAAAAACAGGATGACCTTCCCTATTTGGAGTGACCTTTTTGCACAAACAAATATGCTTGGTTTATAGTCCGTGTGTGTGGGCTGCTGTGTGTCATTAAGATATGAAGCATGTTTTGGAATATATAACAAAGAATAAAGGAAATGAATTAATATCACTAAAATGTGAAATATGAAATTCTAACATGAAAATCTATCCTAAATGATATTAAATTCTCTGGACTTGTTTTAGTATGAAACCATTAAGATTCATACTATGCATAGTATGTAACTTCCTGAATAGAAGAATATACTGTTTACATAAAAATAACAGAATACAAAGCCTTATTAGTTCTCTAGCAAAAGGTGAAAAATTATAAGGATAACAACTTCAATTCTATCGGCCTTCAGGATGGGTTTTCCTTATTGTTTAAGAAAGTGCTATTATTGTACTTCTCAAAATGTTATTTTTACCATTCATTCTGCTAGGATGGAAAGAACACTACCAATGACAGTTACACTACTGGACTTAAACACAGCTGGGTTCTATTCAATTTTCCAATTGGCAACCTAGGGAGGAATAGCAACCTACAGACTTGTACAATGCTATTGACAAATAAGTTAATATATAGATATCTTATTTACAAGCTAACACTTACATATTCAAGACCTATTCTAAGACTTTCTTACATTTCTTTAAGTAAATATGGGGATATTTTTTTATTTTTGTTTTTGCTTAAATTAGCTCCATGAAATAACTGACTGATTTTTGTATTATCTATAGTACTGGACTTCTAATGTTTTTTTTTCCAAGGAAGGTTGGTGTGTTAGGGAAAATAACTCTTGTTAACTTTACCTTCTCCTTATCCTTTATAACATGCAAAATGAAGAAAATGTAAGTACAAGTTTATGAAAAAGAAGTGTTCCTAGATTCCAACTTAGAATGTAAAAGTACTAGGTGAAAAAGAGATGTTAAAAATCAAAAAGATAATGGCATAAAATGAGAAAATTCCTGAAATAAGAATATTTTGAAATAACCAGGCACAAACATACACAATAAACATATGAATTCCTTTTCCTTTCAAAGAAACTAATCACCTCTTGATTACTATTACATCTTTCAAAGACTTCTACCTCCAAATCAATGTATATTAAACATTCCTTACTAAAATATTTTGATCTGATCTGTTCTTGATGAAAAATTACTATGGAATTTTGGCTTCTCTTAGAATTATCAGTTACATAAAGAACAACCCATGCTTTAAATTCATAACTGTATGCAACATGTCAAAAAAAAGAAAAAGAAGAAAAAAAAAAAAAATAATAATAAATTTAGATGACAATATTTTTTCTTTACCTTTGACGGTGTCTGTCGTAGAACACTTAGAGCTTTCTGGTGTGTTATATCCCTGAAGTTCTCATTGTTCACATTAAGAATCTGATCACCTGGTTTCAATCTTCCATCCTTAGCAGCTGCACCGTCAGGGTAAACTTCATGGATGATGATAGCACCCTGAAAATAAAAAAATGCATGAATATTTTGCTTCTATATTCAGAATGTACAACAATATACAAAGTTTTCATTATGTACAGTTATTTTGACTTAACACTTTCATCTCTCTTTTTAGTAATATATAATTTACTCTACATAAGATTCAGAGATACAGTTACTGTTCCCTTTTTTGTGATAAAAAAAAAATGTAACATATACTTGAATTTTTTAAATAACTGCACACAAGGTGACAGACAGCAACTGTCTCATTAACAACTCTAATCTACCAATATAGAAGACTGGGATTACTACTTTTTTTAAGGGAAATATTCACTTAAATGCTGTCAGAATTGGCCATGACCATATAATACAACCAGGACTATAAACATAACCACACTCCATAATGTATCTCCAAGCACAAAAAACACATGAAATTAGCCCCACAAAATACCCATGAAAAGCATATTAAAAAAAAAAAAAACAGAAAACAAGAGTATTTAACCTTTTAAACTAATTCCTTTCCCAAACATGTATTCTAGCATCTAACATTATCATTTTGCTTAAAACTGCATTACATATTCATCATGAAAATTCATAGATACATTGTCAAACATGAAAAATTTAAAAGCATTACATAAAAGCCCTTTCTTCAGTCAACAGAAGCAACACATAACACCACAACAAAGCACTTATTGTTCATTTGGCTCACACAAGAAGCTACAAGCTAATGCATAAGGCTAGTACTTGAGAAGTACTTACTCTCTTGAATGATGCAAGACCATGAAGGAAGCAAGAAGAAACAAACAAAATGTTACTCTGATATTTAGAAGAATACATAAATGGTAATTCTATATTGTTCTACTGCAGCAAAAATATACATGAAGATGGTTAAACATAGAAAAATAGTGAACAGAGAAAGAGGAAAAAATAATACATCATCTAATTTGGTCAACCACAATAAAACATTACACTCATAACTATACCAGTTTACTTTCCCCTCCTCCTTCCTCAATACTTTCATTTACATATCTAAATCACATTTTGGCTCATTATAATTTACTTTCTTAAAATAAGTATAAAAAAGATAGGGAAAATATGAGAAGCCACTACGTCTCAGGAGTGTATCAGAACCACCCACAATAGACAGGCCAAGACCCATCTTCTCCTTCACAATTTCTATGGTGGTTTCTCTGCCCGGCCGGATTTCTGCTGTTGCTGGGTCCTTTGGAAATAAAAGCAGAAAAAGGAAATTAACATTTTGTATTTTAGTCGCTATTCCCTGTCACTTGGTGCCGTCTCATCAACTCACATTTTGAAAGTTTTGTCCACATCCAGATTACCATTTTGATAATAAAATATATAAGCCGTAGCATAATTATTGATTATTAACACCACAAAAAATAAAATTACTGAAAAGTAACTTTGTCTGTATCAAAAACATTTTACTCTACATTCATTTAGTTTAATTTCCTGAACTTCTTTATTCATATCATTAGAAATTATTACTTTTTTTTTCCAAACATTCAATCCCATTGTTTCCCAATTACAGGCATCAAGTGTCATGTTCACGCTTTCTGCTTACTCTCTATTAGGCTGAAAATGAGAGCAAAATGCCATTAAAAGCATATGACTTTATGACTGTCAGTGCCACACAAAGTCAGGTATTTTCTAATGCCTCATCACGGATTTGTTCACAGTGTCCGTTAAAAGCCGAGGCATCTAAATACAGAAGCAAATTAATATGCGAGATTTATCATTTACAGAAATTACATAATTATTATTATTTGTTTTTAGATGTCGAATGTGCTTCCCTAAAGCCAAGTGGCATTTCCACACACACACTTCAATTATTTTGCTTAATCTGAAGCTGACACACAGGTATTTAGAAGTATGCTTATTAAAAGCATTATTCAGACTGAATCTGTCAGGCCACAATGGAACCAGTTATGATGGCTTTAGAGCAAAATAAGCTGCTGTCATTGTGTTGTACATATTCCGCACTTTTAATATTCATTTACATGACCATAAATATGTACACAAACACACATTAGTGTAAATAGTTGATTTCTACCATTAACACCTAATCTGTCAATGGCATAAATGGGTGTGAGGGTGCATGGAGGTGTGGGTATGTGTGTGTGTGTGTAGGGAAGGGGTATGTGTGTGTGTGGGGAGGGGTATGTGTGTGGGGAGGGGGCATGGGTGTGTGTGTGGGGGGGGGTATGGGAGTGTGGGTGTGGTGTGGAGTATGGTTGTGCATTGGATGGGTGAGAGTGAGAATGAGAATGAGAATGAGTGTGTGTGTATGTGTGTGTTTGTGTGAGTGCAAGTGTGTGTGTGTGTGTGAGTGCAAGTGTGTGTGTGAGTGCAAGTGTGTGTGTGTGTGCAAGTGTGTGGTGTGTGAGTTGTTGTGTGTGTGTTGTGTTTGTGTGAGTGCAAGTGTTGTGTGTGTGTGTGTGGAGTGCAAGTGTGTGTGTGTGTGTGAGAGTGCAAGTGTGTGTTGTGTGGAGTGCAAGTGTGTGTGGTGTGAGTGCAAGTTGTGTTGTGAGTGCAAGTGTGTGTGTGTGTGTGTAAGTGAGTGTGTGTGTGTGTGTGTGTGTGTGTGTGTGTGTGGGTGGTGTGTGTGTGTGTGTGTGTGGTGTGTGTGTGTGTGTGTGTGTGTGTGTGTGTGTGTGTGTGTGTGTGTGTGTGTGTGTTGTGTGTTGTGGTGTGTGTGTGTGTGTGTGTGTGTGT